ACACACACACACACACACACACACACACACACACACACACACACACACACACACACACACACACACACACACACACACACACACACACACACACACACACACACACACACACACACACACACACACACACACACACACACACACACACACACACACACACACACACACACACACACACACACACACACACACACACACACACACACACACACACACACACACACACACACACACACACACACACACACACACACACACACACACACACACACACACACACACACACACACACACACACACACACACACACACACACACACACACACACACACACACACACACACACACACACACACACACACACACACACACACACACACACACACACACACACACACACACACACACACACACACACACACACACACACACACACACACACACACACACACACACACACACACACACACACACACACATATATATATATATATATATATATATATATATATATATATATATATATATATGATCAAGAAGGGGAAATAAATAGGATGGATATTACCTTCATGAAGATTGATGAGAGTTTTCACTAAAACTATCAATAAGTACATCAAACGTTAAGGGAATATATGCAATAAAATAAGGAGCATGCAACTTAATTAAGTTGCAACCTATCCGAGATATCGAGAACACCAAGTTCCATACGGATGTGAAAGAAGGGTTCCGTAGCGAGTGATTTAGTAAAAATGTCGGCAAGTTAATTTTTGCTATCAACATGCTCGAAAATGACATCACCCTTTTCCACATGATCCCTTAGGAAATGATGCCTAATCTCAATATGTTTTGTGCGAGAGTGCAAAATCGAATTTTTGGTTAGGTTGATGGAACTTGTATTGTCACAAAAAATAGGAATGTGATCAAGTCGGACATTGAAGTCGAGCAATTGTTGTTTGAGCCACAAGATTTAGGCACAACAATTACTGGTTGCAACGTATTATGCTTTGGCGGTTGACAAAGCAACGAAAACTTTCTTTTTGCTATGCCAATTGACCAAAGAGTTTGAAAAGAAATGACAAGTACCACCAGTGCTTTTCCTATCCGATTTGCACCCGGCAAAGTCGGAATCGGAATAGCCAACCAAATAACAATCACTACCCTTGGAGAACCAAAATCCATACTTAATTGTACCACTAAGATATCTAAGTATGCACTTTACGTCTTTTAAATGTGACTCCTTAGGACATGATTGAAATCGAGCACACATGCAAACACTAAACATGATATCTGGATGAGAAGTTGTAAGATAGATAAGGGAACCAATAATACCTCTATACCTTTTCATATCGATGGGTTTACCATTTTCATCTCGGTCTAAGTTCACGGTCGTAGGCATATGAGTATCAATTGCTTTTGAGTTTCTCATGTCGAATCGCTTGAGTAGGTCAAGGAAATATTTCGTTTGGCTCACGACTGTCCCTTCATTTAGTTGCTTGATTTGAAGTACAAGGAAGTAGTTTAACTCCCCCATCATGCTCATCTCAAATTCTCCCTGCATTAGCTTAGAGAATTCCTTGACCAAATATATGTTAGAAGAACCAAAAATAATGTCATCTACATATACTTGAACTAAAATAGAATGTTTTCCTTCATGCTTAATAAAAAGGGTTGTGCCAACCTTTCCTCTTGAGAATCCTTGATCTAGTAAGAATTTGCTAAGACGTTCGTACCAAACCCTAGGGGCTTGTTTAAGACCGTATAGAGCACGCTTAAGTTTGTAAACATAGTTAGGATTCTCAAAATTCTCAAAACTGGGAGGCTGAGACACATAAACCTCTTCATTAACGTATCCATTTAAGAAAGCAGTCTTTACATCCATTTGAAATAATTTGAAGTTTTGTGAGCATGTATATGCAAGCAAAAGGCGTATAACCTCGAGTCGAGCCATCGGAGCGTAAGTTTCCTCATAATTGATGCCTTTCTCTTGGTTATACCCTTGGGCAACAAGATGAGTCTTGTTGTGAGTTATAATTCCATTTTCGTCTAGTTTGTTCCTAAATATCCATTTAGTTCCAATAACTTGATGATCTCGTGGAGGAGGGACAAGGTCCCAAACCTCATTTCTTTTAAACTGATTTAGTTCCTCTTGCATAGCTAAAAACCAATGTTCATCGAGTAAGGCGTCTTTGGAATTTTTAGGCATAATTTGAGAGACGAAAGCAAAATGATAACAAAAGTTACTTATCTTAGAGAGGGTGTGACTCCCTTTGATATGTCTCCTAGGATGTTGTCGATGGGATGATCCTTAGAGGTTTTCCATTCCAAAGGAAGATCATTTTTATTACTTGGATGATCTTCCCCTCTTTCTTCGGATACTTGATCCAACTCTTCCTCAATTTTAGTATATTTCGAATCCTTTTCTTTGGGATCTTTTAGTATGTTTTCTGAAGATACACCTGCACCATCATAAACATTATCCTTTTTGACTAATTTCGGATCGGATTCATCAAAGGAAACATGCACAGACTCTTTAACAATATGTAACCTTTTATTAAATACTCTATAAGCTTTACTTGATTGAGAGTATCCGAGAAAAATACCTTCGTCGACTTTCGAGTCAAATTTACCTAGATTCTCCTTACCTTTATTTAACACAAAGCATTTACTTAGTGATAATGTTTGTTTGTATATAAATCATGATGAATGATTTTTGCAGTAGTTATTAGTTGTGTTTGAAATTTGAATACTTTCCTTGTTTTACACATTTTGGAATCTGATACTTAGCTTGCTTAGATTTTCTTCTAGTTAAGAAAATGCATGAACACATGTTAGTAGAAACATTTGGTCATATATTATGATGTGGCTTGTGAGTTAAGTAAAGTGGATGTTTTTAAGTTATGTTTGTGAATTTCTGGACCATCTATTTGTGTTTATGCCCCATAATACATTTTGACCATTTAGTTGCTTTTGATCATGAAACACTTGATACAATTGTTAAAAAGAAGATCTTTGTTGATGTTGTTAATAGTGTTTGTGACATACTTTAGATCAACTATTTATCCTTTTTTTAAGGAAAAAAGATTTATTTATCTCTATACTTAAAAAAGATTATCTAGTTGGACTTCAAAAGTACAAACATAATGGTAGAATTATTTAGCTTGAGAGTTAGACACTATTAAAGATGGATGACTTGTGTGTCAAGTTATTAACTATATGAAAGACTTTGAAGAGATGGGTGTTGATTTCTCCAGAGAAAGGATACTATAAATTCTCATTCTCTTCACGGGAGGATTTGATAATTGTTTGATCGGTTCCATCATGGAATCTCAACCCTAAATTCTTAAAACTTTTGCTCGAGATTAACGATTTTAACTCATAGTTCGCAACAACAACAAAAATGCTCATGTTTTATACTTCTGAACGAATATCAATCATTCCAAACTTTCAAATAAGGTGTTTAAATCGTTTTATTGATAAACATTTTGTTAACACAACTAAAACTAATGCCTAGAAGGTATATAAGGGGTAGTTCTCAATCCACTATCCATTTTTTTTGGATGAAATATAGATCAATCTCGAAGTGTTTTGGCATGTCATGTTGAACCGAATTATATGCAATATTGATAGCTGATTAATCATTACAAAACAATTCTATAGAGCCTTCACATTGTATCTTCAAATCTTTTAGTACTTGTTTCATCCATAATAGTTCACAAATTCTCAATGTCATAGTTCTGAATTTTGTTTTAATTCTTGGTCGAGCAACTACACTTTTCTTCTTACTCCTACAAGCAAGAATGTGTACACACAAGTATAATAATCTGGAGTAGGTAGTACTATTTTGTTTTGCGCAAACAGATATTCTTAGAATGAGGATTGTGGGTTGGGCATAAAGTATAGTTGTGGGTTGGGCCTAACTCAATCCTACAAAATCGACTTGTAAGATGAGGATTGCCCCCACTTATAAATACATGTTCAGGCCAAATATTATCGGATGTGGGACTCTTAATTCTCCTGATTTGTTAGCGCAACAATCGGGAGAGAGTCGAGCGAAGAGCATTCTTATTTTCGGAATTTTCCGTTTTGAGCAATCTTTATCCACGTGTAGAACGCTTACCCTTGTCCATGTGGGATACTTTTCGATACAAATAAGTCGGTCCGTTTTCTCCCAAAGACTCTGATACCATCTTAGAATGTGTGGGTTGAACCTAACTCAATCCTACAAAATCAATTTGTAAGATGAAGATTGCCCCCACTTATAAACACATGTACAAATCATATATTGTCCGATGTAGGACTCTTAAACGATATAAATTTGACAACAAAGTCATTCTTTACTAGCAAGCCATCAATATTGTTATTGCAAATGTTTTCCTAACTGGCAATCTCATTAGGGACACTACATCTTCGATTCATAGCTTTATGATCGTTAAGCCATTGATGGTTGAATCTCATCCGACTGAACTCCTCAAATAATTGAAGTTACCTTTTGTTTTTTGGAGCATGTGTAACACTCATGGCACTGCAAGAGGTTATGCTAGCTATCAAACGGACTTATAAAAAAGGGTTGGAAGTTTCTTTAGCTAGAATCTGATTCTCAACTTGTAAACTTGATATTTAAAAACGATGACAACTGTCAAAATTAGGATGGCCTCATTCCCTCGAACATTTACTAACTACTCAATGTCAAAATTAGTTGTCATTACTTTATCCAAGATCTTCTTCTAGGTCATCAGAGATTTCATGAACTTATGCAGGCCAGCTTAATGAGAGGTTATAAAGAAATGGTTGAGGCATTAATCACTTGAAGTTGTGCATTAGATAATAGTAGCAACTGTATCAACACAGTGAAATTCTACTACCATAATTACATGACATTCTAGGTCCAACAAGTGTTCATCATCAGATAATAAGAGTAAGACAAGCAAAATATTGTGGACACTAGATAATTCAGTCATAAGCAAAATATCAAAAAACAAAAGTAAGCAGTGGCAATAGACTTAGTCGAAAGGGAAGGCAGAACTGAGGAACTCCTCGTCTTCAAGGTCAATCTGCAGATTCTTGGATTCCATTAGAAAATCAACTTCTTCATTCTTGAATTTCATAACAAAACCCAATGTGATTAGTTCAGACAGTGCAGGGACATAATCATGGTTCTCACACAAAACACCCTCAGATATTGCTTCAGAGAAATTCGAAGCATATTTCAATGAATCACCAGGAACTCCATCCGACTTTTGGATGATAAAGTTGCAACTTTGACTTTCCCAACGTACCCTTTTGTTTGCTTTCTTGGTAATGATGTCCCCTGATGATAGTGATAAACTATAGCTTACATCGAGTGGCTCCATTGTTTCGTGGAAACTCAAGTTGATAAGACTTTGAACAGCTTCATGTCTCTTTTTAGGTTCCATTTTTAGGCTAGAACATGCAAGAAAACCAAGAATAAGCTTAACCAACCCCTTCAAGTTGAAAATGTTATTTGGATCAACATACTTCAGTTTATCGCCATCATTCACTAAGGATGATTCTTCTTTGGATAGTGATTCAGAGATATTTCTAGCACCAATTTTTCTGTAAATCTCAGATAGTTTACACTTGGACAATGGTGTCATGTTATACTGAGGATACCATACAAAAACCTTTTCCTTCTCAAAAAGCTTCTTCATATGAAGGTTATCAGGGATAAAAGCATCTTCCCTATCTACCAGAAATATTTCATTATTTCCTGATGTTGTTGGTAGTTTCATCATCTCAAAAAGCTTCTTCATATGAAGGTTATCAGGGATAAAAGCATCTTCCCTATCTACCAGAAATATTTCATTATTTCCTGATGTTGTTGGTAGTTTCATCAGACTCCCTGCAAGTTTTTTCTCTTCATTTGTGCTCAGATGTTTCGAGATAGACGTCCAGAACCTGCAGCACTCATCATATGACAATTGCTCTATTGACCTCCCCCATTCATTCCAAAGGTCAACATAATCTTCTAGCGAAGGCTTATTCTTGATTTCCATTGCAAAGTAGAAAAAAAGAAGAATACTGCTGTCATCATAGATATCATCTAGAACATAAAATTTTGAACCAAAAAGTTTAGCAGGGTCATGAACCATGCACTCTTTAGAATCAACCCACTTGCCACCTTTGTTTCCATCCAGAACCCAAACCTTTCTTGCAGCTCTCTCCTCAGGTTTCCAGTTGTGTTCACATAAGTACTTATATATTTTCACAATGGTATCATGATCGGATAGAGACTCAATGTGACTGGCAAGCAAGGAGCACCCTTTCTCAACTTCACTAATGACTCCTATTGCATTGAGTTCTTTCCGGAAAGATGCAATATTAGGTCCATAAACATTTTCATCAATAAAAGGCCCATCAGTTGGATTCAAGAAAGAACTCCACTTGGAATCAAACAACAAACACTTCTCTGGAGGCCTATAACCAGCATGTGTCTTCAACCAATATTCGGACAATCTTTTTCTGAAATCATCGCTGAAGGAAAGCTTGTTATCTTGCATTAGAAGTTGGACGCATTCCAGAAAAGAAAATACACTTTCAGGACTAATGGTGGAGAGATCTGAAGGAAAATTCAGACATTCGGGCACAAACCTCAATCCATCTTTGAATTCCGTGACAACGCCAATGCTCTTCAGCTCTGCCTTGTACTCATATATTCCCAAACCACAACATTTATCACTGTAGTCAATGAAAGGGAGACAAGTTATAGAAGATATCAATTTCCACTCCGGACCATATAAAATGCATTGTTTTGGGCACCTAAAACCATCAACACTAGTATGCAACCACTTCGATTTACGTATGGTGGTTTTGAATTCAGAAGGAAAACTATAGTCAGTTCCCTCCAGCAGCCTGCAACAAGAGAGAAATGAGATGACATTTTGTTGGTTAATTGAAGCTTCCGATGCCTTTCGTTCGAAGAGACTAGCAAATTTTTTGATGGCATCCATAAAATCAACCAACACCTCTGTTTGCTTCAATTCATCTTTGAAACTGAAAATCTTCTCCCCATAAAATTTATGATCAATAACAGGAAGATCATCAAATACCTCCAAAATGCAGCCCCATACTGGGTCATACAAGAAACATTCACCTGGTTTTTTGAAACCCATGTTTGTCTTCAAGCAGTTTTTTCCCTTAAGTAAATTTAAGAGATTAATAGGGGTATCTGAGTGCCTGATGCATTCCATTATCAAAAGAAAAGCTTCAGCTGTCAAAGAGGCCAAATCTGAGGGTAATTTTAAATGCTCAACGACAACTTGGTAATTTCCACTTGCATCAACTATCACTCCTAGCAACTTGAGCTCTTCTTTGTAACTATATATTTCTTTACCAAAATAAGATTGATCAATGAAAGGGATGTTACTAATTTGTGACGCAACTTGCCATCCGGAATCATTCAAGACAGATCCCACAGGAGACCTAAAGCCCCAAGAAGTCTTAAGCCAAGTCCCTTCTTTGATGCTGTTGACAAATTTGTCCAGAGGAAGAAGACTTTTCTTGAGATATTGGATGAAGTTAAGCATCAAAAGAACATGACTCCTATGTAAAGAGAAAGAAGCTGCTCGAGACATTAGCTCTCTTCCAATGAATTCACATGCTTCCTCACAATTGAACATCACTCCAACCGTTTCCAATTCCTCTTTGTATTCATTTATTCTATCCCCGTAGAACATCTCATCAATCAGGGGAATGTCAACAAGAACTGAACCACTCTGCAAAAGCTTTCCCAATGATGAGCCAATTAAGAATGACTTAGAAGGGGGCATGTATACATTGCCTGTAACTTTAAGCCATCTGCCCCCTTTTATACATTCCAAGAACTTCTTTGGTGGGCCAACTCCCCTTTTCTTCAGCTCCCGAATCCAATCTAAAAGTAAAAAGGCATTGTCTTTGGTAAGTGGTGTATCCGCTGCTGAAAAGCCAGCATTTGGAGGAGATATATAAGGTATGTCAGAAGCTCCAACAAAGGTTTTGAGGAATTCAATAAGCTTCCCTGAATCTGTATATTGGCCAGCATAAGAAGAATCATTTAGGTAAGCCTTTCCTAACTCAACATAATTTTCATTTCTCCATGGATTAGAACCAATCAAATCTGCCCATTTGCTCACATTTGCAGGAAGAAGAACTCCGTTTATGCTTTTAGTTATACGTCCAAACTTGTCCACAAGTGGAATAGAACTACGTAGAGCATTAACCTCATGACTTGACAAATAACCCTTTGAGAAAGAGTGGTATAAGAAATGAGCATAAGCAATGGCGAGCTTGCAGTTATTATTAATAGAACTGCAGAGAGCAAATGCAAAACTATACACATCTAGAGTACGGATATTAACAGTTCTTAGCCATCCCAACAAATGAAGCTTATCGCGCGATTGGAAGAGAGCTTGTTGTGTGCTTTCGGGCATAAAAAACTGGTTTGTCACGCATGCAAATATATTGTTCCAATTGATCAGCCAAGAACAAGGACAATTCCTAGTTGAGGATGCTAGTACTAAACACCTGGCACCAGCACCTAGATGCCTGCATTCATTAAGACTGGAAAAAGACAGAATCCCATCAGAAGCCACATATTTAATCAATGGAATATCATCAGCAAGCTTTGACGGAAATCTAGAAACAAACACTAAAAGCTCAAGATAGATATTTTCTGATACTCCGTCCACAAGATTTGAACTCTGGATGCACTTTGCATACCAATCAAAATTCACCAGTTTCACCCCTAAAAAATTGAGTACGCATTCATACTCGCTTTTATCAAATGAAGAACTCAATATTTTCATCCCATCATGAGAAGACAGATCAAGCAAGTACACTCCCTCCTTCTGAGCTTTTGTCAAAATATTCCAAAAGCTAGGTAGTAGTCTGCTAACTTCGCGAGGCTTATAGAAGTGCTTCTGGTTTGTGAATGTCTCAATAGGTAAGATCTTTTCTTCAGTCAGTTTTGATCTGATTTTCTGCCTCACCTGATTGAAGTTTTCAAAAGGAGAACTACAAACTGGAAGGAACTTGAGCATATATGGCAAGCTGGAGACTGGAACTTCATCTGAACCAGTGATAAGTGTTTTGAATGCATCTACAAAAGCTGATGGAACATATTCAAGTATCCCTTTATTCCACTTATCATCGAAGAGAATTGTCTCCCTTGACGAGGCAAGAACAAAATCAGCTTGAATTATGAAAGGAAAATAAGTGACCATCTCTGTAGGAAGAAATGCATAAACCCCTGGTAAGCTCTTATCCTTGTGAAGCCTCTCCTGATGTGGGAAGGCCAATGTCACAACACACTCTTTCACACCCCTTCTCCTTTCCACCACATTTTTCAACTTGACTGGAAACTTCTGCTTCCACATGTAGTAACTGCATTCCTTTTCGTCAGTACTATTTTTCCCGGCAGATAGATGGACTGTATAAGACTCGGCATTCATGTTTTTCCTTGTCACAAAGTTAATCTCGCTTGAAATAGATACGGAAGTTTCAGTCTTCTGTTTGGAGTCCTCATCATTATCTCTGACAGAAAGGTGTCTGATTTTTGAAAGGAACAATAAAACTTCCGGTTGAATGCTTGAGAGCTGCATTTTAACAGGTTTGACTTTACCCGGCTTCAAAGGCAAGATAATTGTTGTAGTTGGAAGAGAATCTTTACCAGCACCATATATCTTCTTTATGTCCACGAGGGTTGGCTTGTCCTCAACCCACTCGGGAACTACATATCCAATTCTGCAATTTGGACAAGGCCTCTCGTTGAACCTTATCTGATATCCGTTGCTAAAAATGTAAGGCTGAGCAGTAACAAGAAACACGCTCTTGAAACCAATACCTGAAAGTCAACCATAAGAGAGATTATGTCAAATTTGCATCGTCGCCTTCAATTTGGCACAAGGAAACTAACCAAAGAACCACAATTAAATCAGTTTTTGTTTTTTTCCCTCCGATATCATAGCTGAAAATGTCGTCTATACAAAAAAAGAGAAATTGACTGAATTCATTCAAACAAATTAAATGTATATACTTAGAATTCAGATATTAAAAATGCCAATATCAAATGAAAATATTCAACTAATTATAATTGAAAGAAACCACATTAGCACAACTGCACAAGTACTTCTCGAGTCAAAAGTATAAAACTTCAAAAAAATATTTAAATATGAGATTGTACCTTTCTCTCCAATGTAACCACTGCTCCTATTATCTTTCTTTGTTGATCGTCCAACACTGCAGATGGACTCAATGTTTTTTGGAGAAAAACCCTTTTCATTATTGAAAATAAGTAATGTGGCTGGCGCACCAGTACCAGTAATGTCATCAGAAGTTATGACAAACTCTAGTGTTGGACTCTCTCCGTCAATATAATGGTTGTCTTCAGCATTCTGATGAAATTGACAATAGATTTACGGCCATGAATATAAACAACTATAATGTGACAACATTAATGCATTGCTCTAGATAAAGACAGTGACAGTTATAGAAGTAAAATAAAGAGAATCATTGTTTTACATGTCTATGTGAGTACTATGGACATAATGTCATATCAATCATGCATTGTATCCAAACAAAATAATTCAAGAAGAAAAAAAAAGAATAAGCAGCATCATCTTAATATGTCTAACTCAACCTACACCAAAAATGAAATAAAATTTTCACAACATTAATTGTAAGGTTAAATCTTAAATTTTGTTTTCAATCTTTATCCACTTTTCAGTCCTACTATTAGCTAGTAGCTACTACTTGAATTTTGCTAGAGAGTTTTACCCATATAAAATGTATTGATATTTTTATGCATATTCTATTGCCAAATTAACTTCTGAAAGTTCACCTCATAATCCTAATCAAGTTTATATTCTCTTTTTTTCTTTACATAGTTACTTAGATGAAGAGGTTTATATGCAATTGTCTCCCAAGAGTTTCATCAGATGATCCTAATCGTGTTTTTAAATTACTCAAAGTGCATTTATGATTTATGGCTCAAGGCACTAAAGTAGGCAATGGTTTGCCAAATTATCTTCTACATTAACATGTAAGGGATATAGGGCCTGTTTGTTTTAACTTCAAAAAACAAACGGGCCCATATTCAATCTTTATGAGATCATTTCTTCTTCATCAAAAGATTGAATTTATCCTTCTCTGCTATTTAGATCAATCTTGATGATGTGATCATTGCAAGCAATAACTTGCAAGATAGCACAATCATCAAATTCTTTGAACACTAATTTCAAAATCAAGAAGCTTGTCATCTTGGAAGTACTTTTTGGGCATTGAAATAGCTTATTCCAGCATTGGCATTCACCTTTGTCAAAGAAAATACACTTTGGACATCCTTTAAAAAATTAGACTTCTTACCAAAGATCAGAGTCATCTTTAGTTTTTGGAGGTTCTGTGCAGGTATTAACACTGACATATTTAAGTCTTGATTCAACCATGACAAAACAATTAGATGTCCTATTTAACCACGGTTTAACAGTGACAAATATTTAATGAGATATTTAACTATGATTCAACTCTGACAAATTTATTTTGGACATGTGCAGAAGCCCGTCTTGCATGCCCTCAAAGACAGCTCTGTCAAAGTCCTAGAAATGAAAACAAAGACTAGATACAAAGAATGTAAATGTTATAGAGACTAAAAGCACATTATTACTATTATTACTATTATGCATGATTATGAGAAACCAAACAAGTGGAAGCAAAAAAGATGAAAGGGTAAATGTACTTGAATAAGCTCCATGAGGAAATGAACATCTTTAGCATAAAGTTCAGCGGAGAGATTCTTGACAGCGTGATGAAGATCTTCAGTCAATGGATTAGGTTTCCCGCCAATAGAGAACTTAGTTCTCCGTATCTCTTCAACGTGTTGTTTCGGTGTAGCCATTGATCTTGAGTCAATGAAGTAAACATGCATTATTACAGACTGAAATGAATGAAACATTGATGAACAAAAGAAGAAAAAAAAAGTGTGTTGATTGGTTACCTGTAAGGACACAGCTTCTTGGAGAAGAAAGGTTTGAGAATGGGAGTAGTTAGTACAATACTACAAGAAAAGTGTGTTTCTGTCTAGGCATAAAAAACTCTTTTTTTTTTTACCATTTCGCACGATTAGAAAACATTAAAAATAATACTACTAACGTGTGCAAGTTAACAAAAAGTTAAGAAAGTAATCATTAAAATTTTGTTTTGGGAAATTGTATATTCTCTTTTTTCAATGTTTAAATTTTACACTATTTTATTTTTAAATGAATACTTTGATATCTTAAAATAAGAAAGGGTGATTTTTATTCTTTTTAAATAAAATTATAAGTGTATAATTTTTTACATAATTTTTTAAAAAATATTTAAATATAATTATCATATTTTCTATAAAAAAATTATAACCACATTTATGAAATTGTAAAGTTAGTTAAATAGATATTAATCATTTAATACGCATCATTTTTTATTTTATTTTATTTTAAAATAAATTAAAATTTTAAACTGATTTTTATTAAAAATATTAATTTTCAACTAAATTTATGTGTATCAAAAAATTTATCTTCTATTATTATAATTTTTTATTTTGTTTTTCTCATTTGTATTTTTAGGATATAAGTTAGAATGATTGAAAATATAAATGAAATTAATATTTTTATACCTCTTATCTAATATTTATGTATTCACAATTATCATAAATATATATAAAATATTGAATTGAAATAATTTTAATACAATTAATTATAAAGTAAAAATAAAAACATTGTTTTGAGAATTTGTTTTTAAAATAATCAACATTTTCAATTAAAATACCACAATAATCATTTTTCTCATTATTAACCAAACTATTTTTGTTTTAAAAAAAATCACAGTAAAAAGGATTAAACAAACTATTTTTCTCATAGCAATCAGATTGAGGAAAGTGGTCCATAAAGTTATCTCTGAAACTCAATTTGCATTTCTATAGGGTCGTCAAATGCTGGACTGCATTCTTATTGCAAACCAAATAGTTGATGATGCTAAGAGAAGAGGTAACCAAGTCTTGATTTTCAAAAAAAAAAAAATAGATTTCCCATGTAGGAAGATTGTATCAAATATACTTGAAATTTGAAAACAGATGAGTATTTGAAATTTGAAAACAGATAACGAACAACGTTTACAACTTATTAGCATCCAAGATTCAATAAAAACAACATCAAATTTCACTTATCCACACAAATTATTTTCAAAACATATTCTTACCTTACTATTCAAGCAATAAAAATAACCGCTAGTTACTTATGTTGAAATATTATGCATTAAATCATGCATTGTAAAATGATCTATATCACCGTATTTATTCACTTTTAGATCTTATGAGAATGATTTCATCAAGAAAATATTCATGATTTGGATACCAATATTTTTCATGCATCGCTCGTTAACTTAACATTTAAGACAGAAATGTGTTATCTACACTTGAATCAAAACATCATTCTCAATTACTCAATTTTTAGGATATAAAATACAATAAGAAAAATATTGTTTCTAATGAGAAAAAAGGTTTTAGTAACTCAATTTTAGGATGTCCGATAAAATACTATCTTTATTCTGATATAGTTTTCAAAACTCACCTCCCAAGACATTCATTCCTTTTTCTTTTTTTTTTTATCAATGATGTCTACGGGGATTTATAACTTAAGCTATTTAAAATCTGATAAAATCAGACATATTTACTAAAAAGATCGAGTTTAAATTTTTTTTAAAGTCTATTTAATTAAATATATCAGACTTATACTATTAAAAAAGTTTATAAAACTTTTTTAATAGTCTAAATAGATTGGTTTATATATACATATATATTAGAAGAAAAAAATGCTAAGTATGTCGGCCTATATATACATATATAGGCCGACGTATAAGGTTTCTTAAGTAATATGAATTTATTGAAAACCTTAATAAGAAAGAAGTTTTTAAATAGGTTTTTAGATTAGATTGGACTTTTAAAAAGGTCTGATCAAACTAGAAAAATAAATCTATAGTAAGTCATAGATCAATCTCAAACCTTGTAAATTTATAATAAGTCAAACTTAACCTTATAAAACCTAAACTAATCTAGCCTATTTCCACCTCTACTTCTTAGTGATATAAGTACAAATATAACTCTTCCAAAAATTTATGTTATCATCTTACATATCAATAGTTTGATTCACTTAAATGATATCATTTCAAAAGGTAATCTTCTTTAATAAAATCCAAGACTTTTATCGAATCAAACCCTTCAAAGCATATAGAACACTTATATCCATTATCTAATCACAATTGTACTAAGAATTATAACTAAAAAATTATATTGTTTTGAACACCACACATTAAACAAGTCCTTAATATTTAGCCCATATTTCTTAACTCTCGTTCTGAATGTCATTTAGGATTAACATGTATCTCTTACATGTTAAATTTTCACAAAGCACACTTTGAATATTGTCAAATGATAAAGTATTAGTAATTTTGTTCTTAATTAATGAGTAACATGTCTTTCATAATAGTTTTGACATCAAACTTTTCAGAGACACACATCCATTTTTTTTAAATACCACAATTTCTTGTCATTGTATACTTATTGAGCAAAAGTTGTTTTTCTTAGACTATCATTTTCAACAATAATAATCAATGAGATGTTGTGGTTTTCATTGGCATTGTCTCAATAAGCTTATAATATTTTTTTAATCATTTTTTCTTTCTATAAACATTGTGGTTTTCATGATTTTGTGGTTCATGGAGTGATAAGTGGATAAGTGTACATGAATGTCGGAGGTGTAACTGATGTGTAGTTGTCATATATTGGTCAGTATGTTGTGTGGTTATTCTTTAACATTGGTGATCAAGGTTAGAATAGATGAAGTATATCTTGGGATAATTCAATGTGAAATGTATCGAGATGGGTATCTATAGATCCTCAGAAGTGAAGGAATGCCAGTCTCAATAAAGCAGGGACACGTTGGTTTTGAAGTAGTCTAGAATTTCAAAAGGGAGATGTTTGAAGCACGATGTATGATTCCTTGCATTGTGTTTGCACTCTAGACATTAGAAATGCTGCATTGGGGAATGCAACTGAGGAAGTCTGTTTAGTGACAGTTTCGGAAACAAAGAAGTATGGAAATGAGACGCTCCTAGCAGCTTCTAATGGAAAATTAAATTTGCATCAGAATAAGGGGAATCCTGAGGTTGTACAGGTATGAGATTGCATGGTTGAAGGAAGGCTTATAAGGTTTAGTAGGTATTACCTATACCAACAAGATGCATATTCTTTTCGGTAGCATGTTTCATAAGAACTCAACGGTTAAGCGTGCTTGACTTGAAGTAGTATTAGGATGGGTGACCTTCTGAGAAGTCTCCCGAGAAGCGTGTGAGTAAGGTCAAATCATGCTGAAAAGACCCGTGTTGGTTGTGGGGTTAGTCGATAATCCCGAAGGTAGTATGAGGGCATTACAAATGGTATCAGACGACTACGTGGACAAAGTGTGACTATGAAAGGATTGTTAAATCAGTTAAGTCACATGAGTTAATAGAGGTGTTGTCACACTAAAAGTATGAAGTTATATTAGTTAGGAATGAACTATGGAAAAGTTGGCAAAGTTATCATAGTGTTAGTATGATGTGGAGGTCAGTAACGTAAGACGAATTCATATTTAGTGAGTATTCGACTTTAGACATTCTAGAACCGAAGCGTGTAACCAAGTTGTACTCAATGGACCTAACCAGACTGATGGAATCACTACTTACCTGATTTTGGAAATTACTCTCCTTCGAGAAGTAGTCTTTGTTGAGTGTGTTTAAGACTTTAGCGCGTATCGTGATTGAACGGATTCCGAAGGAGAACTGTTGCTATTTAAGGGGTTGAGAAAAGTGTGGTTGAGTAATGGAACTAAGTGAAGCCTGGACTTGGAAATGAAGCAGAGGATCTCAAGGAGTATGTGACCAATTAAGATCAGAGTAGCACAACAGATAAAAAGGGAAAACTAAATAAGCTTGTAGTAGATGTGAATGGAATACTTGTAAGAGTTGTTTTGAGTAGAGATATCTTCCTAAGAGAAAATCGTTGAAGCAGTATTTTGTTCGTCTCAGTCTCTCAAGGATCCACCATAATCTAGAGAGGTATTGTTGATGGGTCATCTTAGAGGAGACTTTACAGTTAATATGCGATCAGATATTCATGAGTCGACGGTTGAGCTTGTGAGTATCAAGAGTTAGACAGAGTGTCATGACCAATGGAATACTGAAAGCAAGTAATGGATTTTACTTGAAGTTGACTCTTTGTAGCTATGTCTTATGCAAATGGGAGCGTGTATGGAGACTTGGATGATGGGTGCATATTAACTATTAGGGTTCCCCATTTGTTGGCGGAACTTTGTGTGAAGTTGTCAGACATTAATACGGTAATTGTGGGATAACCATAAGGATTTAATCTTCATTGGTGAGACATTGTATGCAATTGTTGGACGTAAGGGTTGTAGGTTGCAAAAAATTTACACTCTTGTGGTTCTCAGTGGTAGTGTTACAATCAATACTGGAAGAAGATAGACTTAGAGCAAGTCAATTTGAGCATCTGGGAATTAGAAGTCATGACCAAGGAATTCAACAAGCATATGTATGACGCTGTATGGACTCGGGTGGAAGAAAATCTGAAATGTTGTCATTAGAGAGAGACGTTGTAGCAGGAATGTATGGATTTTAGGTAATGCAAGGAACCAAGGGAAAAGAAGTGGAAATCAGTGGCATGTGTGAGCAAGGATGAGCTTGGAAAACATTAAGGATGACGAATATCCAACCAGAGGGGATTGCCATGAATTCTAAAACTACGAAGACTCTGTGCAAAGAAGTACAGGTTGGAGACCTTGGGAGGATCTCTTTCCAGGTATGTCA